ACACTGCCTATAGTTTTTCCAGCAAGGCATATATTGTTCCGACATTTGCATGAAACAATAGTTATTTAGCTAATTCCTGTACTTTCGCCGTTATTTAGGAAAGAAGTTCTTGAAAAACACCCATATAAAATATATATCTTTCATTTTTATCACACACTGATAATAATTTGTTATAAAATTTAACTTCATTCACAAGTTTAAACCTTTAAGCAACCATCGGTCGTTAACAGAAGTTCATTTTTTTTACCTCGAAACAAAGTTATTGAGGAAATCGCGAGGCAACTTTTGCACTTTTTGTAAACGCCACCTTAAACGTAGTAAGCATTGGATTGGCTTACTAATTCTGTAGTCAATCCATAAATATGCCATTTGACACGTGAAAATGAAACTGTTTGACCTCGTGGTAAGATTTTTAAACCCTCTTTTACATTTCTGTAATTATAACTGGGGCTGTGACAACAAGTTGACAATAATCGATAGTAAAATACATCGAACTCCACAATTGTATACAATTAAACAAAAACATAAATTACGTGAACTCCGTTCTCCGGCGTGTAAAATTTATTTGACGAAATTATAGCCCATAGGTACTAAAAGAAGTTAAATGTTTTAACAGCTTTCAAAGTGCACCCATTTAATAAGCAATAAAAATCATTCCCGAATGTAATTAACTTTTTAAAACAAAACTTGGAGAATTTCTATTTTAAATACTTAACAATTTCATTATAAACTTCTGAATTTAATTACTGTAGACAGTAAAGTAATTAAAAAGTTAGGTAAGTATTATTTTAGTCAAGTAATTACATGTTATGGAAATATTTTTGAATTTAAATTATACAGTGTTGAAATTTGCTATGCGTAGTGTGCATTAGTCAAAATTTGTACGTAGAGAGAAAAAAATTGTAATTAAGGTTGTAGTTGTGACAACTGTAAACACTTTCTTCCCGGAGAAGTGTATAGCTCGGAATTATGTAATACTAGTTATTTCATCCTTTTTGTATCTGAAATTTCTCTAATATTTTTGCGTACTTTTTAACGATCGTAAGTACTGGTGCGCTGTGGAATCTTATTTTCAACTTTACTAACATAAAATCAAATTTATTTAATAATCGAAGTATGATTTTTGTTGTTTGGACAACACTAAATCTAAGTTGCCTTCCTTATTAAACATATCATCTGTTGTATTTCTAAATCCTCCACCTGTATGTAGCAAATTGAATAGATGAACCATTCTTAGAATGTGCTGGTACAAAATTTGTTAACTGACACTGATTAGTAATCGAATGAATAAATAAATTCCATTGCTCTGGTAGTGCTCCAACCCATCGGGGCGATTAACTTGAGAACTGATCTTTCAAAACCTCATTTATTGCAAGTTAACTCATTTTATTGAAATATTCTGGTAGCAATAATCAATGCTTTTGGTATTGTGAACGTTTTCCCACATAAATGCATGTTTTTAAAATATTCAGATATTATAAATATAAATATATATATAAATATTTCAAAACGAGCCACGCCCTGTAATGTGTAATTTTGATAAATTCAGTCTCAGATGCCGTGATTAGAAAACGCATACAATTTTCTTTATGGAAATACAAAATGAAAATTTGAATTGTACAGATTTCACACGTAAATCTCAAAAAATATCTCTATGAATAAGAAAGTTGACATTGCGCAGTATGCGCAGGCGCACATCTGATTTTTACAATATGCGATATACTTGTCTTTACTAGAAGCATCTATAGTTAAAATTCCAAAAAATTTCTCCATAAAAATATGACATTGCGCAATCGGCACATGCGCACATTAATCGTCAAGATTTTTCTTGGTTGAGGTGCAAGAGCTATGAGTTACCGAATGCAAAAAGAAAAAAAACTCCCTTGAGATTTGACCTAAAGATCAGCATCAAAGATACTCAAAGTATTCGAGACATTTCGAGAATAAGAGTGTCGTACTTAGTCGAAACCGTCTGTAGAAGAGTGGATTCCCAACGGAATAGTTGACATCGTTCAGAAATCAGACTGAACATTCGTCACCAGGAAGCTCGTCTTATGGAGCACCAAGGGAATTTGTCTAAGGAAATTCTCCACTACAATTGTTAACGTAATGTAGCTAGCTTAACTTAGAACTAAAACGAAAATGCCTCATTGCATTCTGGCTAAGACTCGAATGTTTCTTGAGGGTAAGTTTCCTTAATGAACGAATTTATCTGGGTCGAGTTTTCTCAGGAGCTGGGATTTAGAATGCTGATGGGAATGCTCCCGCAATTTGACAACAACCCGAAAATAAAAAGACAGGGGTTCGATCCCATGACCTCTCAACCTTAGATATTTCTTGGGGGAAAACTTTCAATGGGTGAACATTCAGGGCGCGCAAAATTCTCATGTCGAATTTTACGCTGGCGTGGGGAACGGCTCTTCCAACATTGCGTGCAAACATTTTGCTGATGTTTCTCGCAATCCGCCATATACCAAATGTATTACTAATTTTTATTTTGCTTTCTTGTATTTTAATATCCTGTGTTATTTACTGCTTTTATTTCCGCAATGTATATATCAAGCTAATTTATATGCTTTCAAATGGGTTTATGGAAGGTGTTTATAGCATTTTTATACGTGTATCGTCGGTAATGTTCTCTTGTGTAATCTTTAACGCCAAAGTGTGGATAAACAGAAGTCGGTACATTACGTTAATTTATTACCCGAAAAATTTCCTCTCTAATTGCTTTTTAGGCGTATTAATTACAATTGCACAATGAAATCTTTTTTCGCGTCTTTAAATATTTGTAAAAGTGAGTTAACGTCTTTATTTCGCGTGACAGGGAAGCTTTACCGGGAAAAAAGGCAGATAATTGGTTAAAAGCACCTCTGAGGCGTCGCGGTGACAGATATCGCGTCCCGACGGCCGCATCCTGAGGTCAGGCATCCCACTCAGTTCTATACGAACAGGTGGTGCCCTCGACATGGTACAGCTGTTCAGCTGTCAGCACGATAAACTGCAAAATCCCACAAGTTGAATCTGTTGATTTCATCATCGGCAATCTTCAAATGTAAAATTTTTTTGTGGGGCTCGTCAAAAAATTAATTAAAATCTACGTTATATGTTACTCTATAGGAAATGAAAATCATTTAGCAGCGTCGTTATAAAAGTTATAAAATGAAATTTCCGGGCCACAAAGCATGTCTGGGGGGAGATGATATATAGGAACGCATTTTTTGCGTACTATTTATAATGGAAAGAATCAATGTTTGCAGACAATGTTGCCATATTTCCGACAGTCCTGGAATGCCACTATTATTGGCAACTGCGGTCTACAAAGATCGATTTGTCCTTTCGGGGCGCTCGCTGGAAGCAATGGTTGCTTCTCGGAGATGTTCGTATTTACTTCGGTAAGGGATACTCTCACACCACCGATATCCCACCATGGAACGGGGAGAATGGGGTAGACCCCGTGTTTCCCCAGCTCGTCCGTTTACGGGACGCAATTAAACAAAATGAAAATTTGCGATTCTAATTGTAAATTGAGAATAGCCTAATTTTTACAGCAGAACTTTTTATATGAATTCGCTAATTTCGAATGGAATTCAAAATTAATTAACTTAGAAATTTCTCCGGGAATGTTTATGGATAAATACGCAACTTAAACTAACTTTCCGAAGTTTGATAACGATCTTAAGATATTATTTGTTGATGGCTTAAGATTAATTTGAATAACTACGGTTTTGAAATGGAAATTATAACATTTTTCCCCCCTCGAACTTAAATTAATCCGGTTATTTAGATTGGACCGAATCGGTGCCTATTTTGAGTTGTGTCCAATTATATTCTTTTAATGACGTTTTTATTCCCCATTTTATTACAGGATAATGGAAAAATGCAATCAAATCTCTCGAAGTTGATTGATTGGTATTATATCTCCCTTTATCCGTTTATAACCAATTATTGGTTACACAATCTTTAAATGTTGGGGATGGTGGGAAAACGTCCGCGATTAACCACAGGACCTCGCCGGGAAATTACCTTATTACGCCATAGTAAGAAGCTACGTGAGGTCTCTCCGCAAGACCTTGAATTATTTATTGCGGCGCCTTTTTGACATAACTCACGCTTCTTTAGGTTGAGGTAGGCTCCCGAGTTTTATCGTGTAAAATTAAGAGGTGCAAAATGAGATTTAATTGTGGTAAACCTCTAAATTATTTCGTCCGTAACTTGCCGCAAACTTAAATTACGATAACCGTGTCGTTTGTGTAATTTAAAGGTACTAAACGGTGCTAATACAGATTTGTTACGTCCATTCTTGATAATACTACCCGCATTACAACAATAAATTATTCCAATAAGTACAAAATTAGCCTTCTATCTTAAGAACACAGATACTTCCGAAGGTTGGTGTCAAATTACCTAGGGTTTGCTCTCGAAGATCCATCTTCAACTTCGTTATTCAAATTACTCCCTTAATTTCGAAGATATTGAAGTTATTCTCCCATAGAAACAAAAAAAGTTTGCTTACAATGTTCGCCCTCAGAGCATTTCTCGCAAGGAAAATTTGTCGGGCACACCAAGGAACTGGCCCCATGGAAAATTCACGTTTAGAGAAAAGAGTACTTATTCTTTGGTTTAGAGTGAAATTGATTCCGGAGTGAATTTGCCTACCTCTAATAAACACAACTATATCCTGTTTTGGGAATAAATAGCCCCTGCAATTGAAAATTTAGGTTTTCTGATAAAAAATGCAGTAAAATAAACAATAGTCCCATTTTAATATGAAATTTTGCATTAAACCAAGTTTCAATGATACACATTGTATTTATTGCAGCAGTTTTATGCACAGTCTACAGGTACGAATACAGAAAGCTTGCTTTGAATTTATTTACGACATTTCACAAAGACAATATAAGCTGCAAAATGTTGGAATATTTTAAAATTGCTTCTAGGCGAAAAACTTGTATTTATGTTTTTCTTGTTCGATGCATGAAAGGGTTAATTACACATTTCTTTTGGTTTCAGATTGAAGGATTCAATATTACAGTCGTGGTGAGGTAAGTTACGTTGAATTTTGTCATGTTCGTTCGATTTTGTGCGGTTTGAGTTGTAATTCGAAGAGAAAACTTTAATGGGATTCATAGACCGGTTGTCCTCACTTCTGAATTATTCGCATCCTTGATTGTGTTTGGCTAGACTAGACTGACTTTTTTCGCATTGATTTTGTTCGGAAGCTTTTTGTGGGATTATAACCTTCATTACCATGCTAAATATTTAATCTTTGTGGCAATGCTCTTTTCACGTGCATTATAACGATTTCCAACACAGACTGTTTCTATTTATTATTATTAGCTAACGAGTTTTTTTCAATAGAAGAAGGTTTGAACTGTCATTGGTTTAATAACACCCCTAAGGATTTCTGTGAATGTGCTGCTTACACAGTTAATGGTCGCATAATTGAGATCGGTTTTTTTAAATATAATAACATATAGTTTATATTTATACTGATATAGTTAGTAATTAGTTAAAAATATCATGAATTTTAAGATAAGTAAAATTAGCACATCCACACTCAGGATATATTCTCAATTCTTCGCATTCCTTCACGGGCCTTATGAATTTCCACTAAGTATTCTTGAAACTTTTCTTAGAAGTAAAATTTGTTGGGTGAATTTTAAGAGGAGATGGCCTCACCTACAAGTGAGATTTCTGGAGGCAAATAATCCGAAGACGAGATTTTGTGAGCAAACTTAAAGACTTATAACTTGGAATATGCTACCACTAAAAAATTCCGTTTATGGAAAAAGGAGGACCGTGTGCTAACTTGGAGGGGAGGCCAAAAACCACAAAATGTTCGAACCTTTTTGAGTTTTTCGCTTATATCTCGTAAATTAAGAATATTTTTTGTATCATAGTGAATTATAAAGTTGTAGACCATTAAATTTACTAAAATTTGGTTGGTGAAACGAATTTTAAGACCCAGTACATTAACCGAAATACAGCTGATCAAAGTAAGACAAAGTTTCTCGAAATGTAAAAAAAATTACAAGATCAAACGAACTTACCTGAAGTGAAGTACGATCTTAATCATATTCGGCCTCGTTTCGTAAATAAATAATGTAGATGTTTAAAGATTATGCAACAACTAAAACTTCTTCTTTATTCAGCAAGTTATTAAAGTAATGAACGATTCTAATACTACATTATTATTATGATATGATTGCACACAAAAAACAAGTATAAATTGTGCACAACTCTTGTGCAGATACAGCGCTTTTTTTTAACCGAAATAGCTTTTGTTTTGACATCACCAATGGATATATTTCTTGCAGACCCTTTGTGAGTACCCTATTCCGACAAAACCACCAGCTTCTGCGTTAGTAATGACAGGGGAATGTCTTGATTAACAAGAAGTCGTACATAAATTATAGCTAAATTAGGATTCCATGTACTTTAATACCTAGGCGTATGTGGTCGCATGTTTAGAACGCCCCTACAAAATCTTTTGATGCGGAAGTCTGACCTCATATCTGGACCAGCTATCTGCCCTATTGCTGTATATAGGTGTTAAGGCTGCTGTAAGAAGCACAATTTTCAAATTGGTATAAGTCAAAAATTCTAATACGTTTGCAGTAGTCACATTAAAAGGATTCCAACTACGGATAGAACAAAATTGCCACCACAAGTTTTAATCAACTATTGTATTGTTTTAAATGGAATCTGTAATTGAAGCTATACAGATCTCCACCGACCTACCTGGTATACCTTTGTGTAATAATGCTTCCCAAATAATTTGCCGGCTACCAAGAAAAGGTATTTTGCAAGAGGGTGGGATGTCCCGCTAAAAGAGAGCAAAGCAATGATTTTAAGATTGGATACCTTGCTGGTGGCGAGATCCATAAAGTGTTCTTAACACTAAAGCAAAGGCATAAAAGTAAAAACGCTCCAATCTAACGTGGAAGCATCAAACTTGTACAAAATTTTTGTTGTTGACTTAATAAAAAAAAATGAAATTTTATTAACTAAAGCTACACTTTAACTCAGGGCTGTATGTTTAGTGCATAGAGAATCCCTTTCCCTATTAAATTTCTTTTTGATGTTAAAAAATTCACTTTCTTTCTGTCTCTTTTCTCCTCTTGTTTTTTCTTGTAGATATCTTTTAAAAAAATTTTTTTTGTTTATATTTCATGTAGTGAATGCTCCTGTATAACATTTTGTATGGGAATAAAGTCAATTATTATTATTATTATTATTATATTACTTTAGTCGCTTCTGGATCTCTCCCTCATGGGCATTTTTTATTTAAACGGCTTGAAAATAAATCTATATCAGGCATACCAAAAACGTCTTTAATTTTTTGGAAGGTGCAATCTGCCAACATCCACTCTGTTTCTCGATACTATTGTCGAGAAGCCTCGTCAGCATGAACATTGTCTGATGAAGAAAAATATACGAGGCAAAAATTTAAGATATCTTTCTTCGTACTAACTCCAAATTTGTCGACCTATTTTATTAAGGGTTAATTGTACAAATTGCAGTAGTGTTATCAACTCGACACAAAATCTTACGTGATGGAAGGTCCTTAGCAAAACATTGCATTCCAAAAAATACTGTTTTAAAATAATGCATTTTTGATTTTCAAACAACTTGATGTATAGAAAACTAATAATAGTATATTAAGATACAAGTGCATAATCAAGTAATTACGCACGAGCAACGAGTTTAATCTAAGAGGATTTTTTATTTCACCCAGATGACAGTTTCAAAAGTCGGACTTGAAGTATCATTACTTAGCAACTTTAAAGCACGTGTGTTTTAAAGGCCTTTTTTCGCACGCATTTGAGTGTTTAAAACGGAGATTGTGATTCAGGTATAATAAAAAAAATTGTATCGTTTCTCGTACGTTATTAAAACACCCTAACTTGGCTTTTCCCATCAATAAAACAATCATCTAGGTCAATTACAGAAACCAACCCTTTTTGTCTAAGCAGGGTTCTTTATAGAGGGAATGGGAAAACCTCTTATATAAGACACTATTTTTCCATCAATAGCTAACTTAATCCACCCATTTGCAAACTTTTGCAATCTTCCACAAGAAAAACGAACCTCTAAGGGCGATTACCTAACTGCCGAGGTTGATGGCGCTGATACTGCTGCGCTCTCTGCTGCTTGTGGGGCAAGGAACGTCTTTATTTAGTTGGAGCACGAAAATTACGTCCCGATTGCTGTGCTCCTCTCTTTAGCGAAAGGGAACATCTCAAGATTCCCTACTTAGATAAAGTAGAAGGTGGAAATGCAAAGGTCTTTTTGGGAACCTTAAGTTGACTTGCGAATTTTTAGTGTCTCTGAGATCCTTGTTAAGGTTTAAGGTTATCAATTCTCTCCGAGAAACCGACTCAGAAAAGTGAATATCGCTAATTGTATCGTGTTTTTGATCTTCTCTGCTAAGTGTAAACATGTCGGTGAGTACTGAACCAATCCAAGCGATCGCCGCACTTAATGGTGCTTGCAGGAGACTTAAACGTAAGTGTCTGCGCAAGGTGGTTTCTGGAACCGCAATCTTAACTTCTGGTTTGATTTTTGGTGGCATTAATTCCACACAGTTTTCCGGTGGTACATATTTTTTTACTAACTCGGTGTTCACTTTATCGGTCAATCCCGTAGACCAACGAGCTGCTAGATCCGGATGAATCGGATTAGAAAACACTTGAACCTTCATCCTGGCTCAACAAAAGTGTAAACATTCTGCACCGACAACGTTAATTTGCTCCGTTTGTTGCTTCGGTCTCCTGGACACGCCTGAAAGCAACCGACCATTACAATTTTTTTGCATTGACAACTATCTAATTGTCTCTACCACCCTATACTTCATTCATTATAAGAAGGTAGTAGATGGCGCTGGGTTTGAAGATAAGCACACACAGGAAAAATATAAAACGGCACCAAATTATTGTACAGTAGAAATATCTAGCACTGCAAACACAAATTAATCTTTGACATTAACAGTTAATGACACTTCAATAGTTTAGATGCCAACAGAAACTACCAGCTTGCAAAATTCGCCACTCGTTTTATGTTTCAGCGTAATACTGACTTGTGTTTTAACCAATCACACTGAAGGTCAAATCTTCCCTATGTTTTTTACCGCTGCCTTCTTAAAATGAATACAGTATAGGTAGGTAAATTGCTTTTTCACTTTTGTAACCTTAAAAAAAAAGATGCGCTGTTGGCTTAAAAAAATGCGAAAACAAGACAGCTTGCCTCTTCACCACTACCACTTTAGGTAGTAAGTAAACAATATGAGCCACCCTAGACACGTATTGTTAACCGCTTACCTCACAAGGAATTTCTTTCCAACGTCAACAATTTGAGGAGTTGCATTTGTCTAATTTTAATGAGTTGTTAATATTTGATTTAAAAAATCGTTTCCTCAGCCAAATTTTAGCAAATTTAATACCTTGCAACTTTTTATTGCACTATGACACAAAAAATTGACGAGCTTGACGAGATATGAGCGAGAAACTGAAAAAAGTTCAAATATTTTGGGATTATTGGCCCCCCTCCAATTTAGCATATGGTCGAAGAATATACATTCTGCCGTACCCCCAAACCACCTGTAAAAATTCCATGAACTTTGTAAAGCTACCCCCTATTTTTCATTGTATCGACTGGACTAGAACTACAGCTTGCAAAAGATAGTTTCCGGAAAGAAATGACTTGAAAGGGGGTGAAATTTGGTGCACATTTAATTGCCGTGTTCGAGCACTCATGTTGGAAGGCGCTATTATGACCACTTTCTTCGGCCGTCCGTCCGAGGCTCCTTTTCAAAATGTTTAGTTTGTTCTTGTTGAATTCGGTAGTTTATAGTTCTGGCACCTGAGCCAACAATCTTGACAATTATTTAATTTGCGCATGCGCAAACTGTCAACTTTCTTATTTATGCAGATATTATTTTGAAATTTTTACCAAAGGTTCGTCTAGTAAAAGCAAACATCGCTTTTCGGGAAGGAGTGATCAATTCATGGACAATGCGCCAAAGTTACTTGCCTCAGGTGAG